TGAGCTGTGATGTCACAGCACTCTACCAAGGGCCACATAGTGAGACTCTGTCTCAAAAAGAAAAAATATGTGATTGCTATCAGTTGATAACTGAAGTGGCTTAGTGAAACTGTTGCATCAGCTTCTTCTCTTTTTTGCTTAGCAGCAAGCTGATATAAGAAGCATTTGACTTTCCCTGGGAGACAGGCTTATCACTAGGGATATGATTTGGCCCTTAAGATACGGTTTTGAGGGCAGTGCCTGTGGCTCAAAGGAGTAGGGTACCGGCCCCATATGCTGGAGGTGGCGGGTTCAAACCCAGCCCTGGCCAAAAACTGCAAAAAAAAAAAAATAATAATAATAATAATAAAAAGATAAGGTTTGGGGCAGGAACTGAGGCCTGAAGCTCACACCCCCTCTTTCTGCTCAAAAAATTTTCCAAGGCTGTAAAAGCAAACAGACTAAAAGAGTTTAGTCTATTGGACTGACAAATGTAAAAGAAAACAATTTACATTTCCTTTTCATTTCTTTCTGAAAAGAGAACGCTGTGTGGGGTACCTATTAGCAAGAGTTCTCAGAGAGGACTTAACTGTTGCTAAGCGAAACTGTGGAGATATTTATTTCTGTTACCATAGCAAAGCTGTTCAGGTGGCTGAGGCAGGAGAATCACTTGAGCCCAGGAGTTCAAGGCTACAGTGAGCTACGACTGTCCCACTACACTCCAGCCTGAGTAACAGAGTGAGACCCTATCTTTAATATAATATACATGCATATATAATATGTGTATATAATATATACATATATATTATATAATACATATATAATTATGTTATTTATATTATAAACAACATACATACATGTTTATAATTATATACACATATACAATTATAATATGCATATATACATATAATATAAATATATACATACATAATTATACATTATAATTATAATATATAATGTATACTATATATTATTATAATATATAATTAATATACATATACAATATATGTGTGTGTGTGAGAGCAAGACCCCATCTCAAAAAAAAATTCACTAAAATAGAAAGATATAAAATTAATACAAATGTCAACAGCTTTCACATAAACAAATCATAAAATATGAAAGGGCACAATGGTAGGAAAACCTCTTTTACAACAGCAATAAAGAATATTTAATACTTAGAAATAAACTTAAAAAGTACATAAATCTCTACAAAGAAAAATTTGAAATATCCCTACATAAAAGTAGACTTAAAAAAATACACCTGGACAGAATGACTCAACATTATAAAGATGCCCATTATGCCTAAGTTAATTTACAAATTTAAAACAATCACACTAAAAACACCAACTTTTAAAAAAGAGACATAGTGATACTGAAGTTCACCATGGTGAAGTTCACATGGTGAACTGAAGCTAAACAGAAAAACAAATATG